ACAGGGAACGCGATGAAACCACAATATCGTACTTCAAGGCGCTGGGACATTGGTAAAAACTGCTCTTGAACACAGGTTCCTCCTGGGTCTTGTATGCAGTGGCTTCTCTGGTTCACTCCTCCTGAGCAGCTTTTCGGCCATGTCATTCATTTCTGAGCTGGAGTCAATGCACACGACTCTATACCCTTCCCAGGCCAATGTGTCCCACGCCCTTTTCAGAGCACGAAGAAGGAAAAAAAAAAAAAAAAAAGAGATGAAATATATATATAATTTAATTCAAAATTGTCTTTATAGTAATGACGCCTACTCCAATCAAACAAAAAGAAATAATCAAGTAAACAGAATTAAGTAGGTAAATGGGTACAGCCAAGCCAGTAAGTCGCAAGGCATCTAGATCTGCCTGCTGGCCATAGAAATTTCTTTCTTGCCTGCTGCACCGCTAGCATTAAAATCTGTTACTAAAGCATTAAGTTCCACCTTGACCGTAATTAGAAGGAACCCTCACATTTTGGCTCTGCAATGCCTAAAAATAGGACAACAGGCCTTGCAAGTTTTTTTCAAATCGGTTTTTTATGGAGATCAAACATGTCTAGAAACAAGCACCCTGCATGCCCCAAAAGGAAAATAAAATCACAAATCATAATTAAAATAAATGGACATTATCTAGCATATATAGTGTGTACAACAATCTGGAAAACATGAATCTGGTGTCCTATACTAAAGTGTTATATAATGTCATCTCTCATGCAATCTCTCAAGCCGCTATGTTTTTGAATAGGATTTCTTTGTTATGTTCTTCACATAGTGGGCTTTACAACATGACTGCGGGTCATTTTTGTAGCTCACGGACGGACACCTGTGACTGTAATTCCTCCTAATTACTCATCCAGCCAGGTACGCCAGGGTTCTCGGGTCACTTAATGTATGCAAATCGTGCTATGAACAGATGTGACATAAATATGGTTCTATTTAAAAGATCTCACTTGACATGTCTCCCAGCTACTAGAATTGCCTGTAATGGGGGAAGGAATCTAAACCGCAGCATCTGGCTCAGCTGGTGATAGCTTTCAGCCCTGTGCGGACGCTTAGTGACTCGGAGACCACCGTGTATACAGATACCAATTCTTTTTTCCTTCTAAGCTTCTATATTTTATTCGTCTGGCTAGCCCACCGCTCAAGTCAATATTCGTGTGAGAGGGTTATGGCTTGACGCTTTTACCTTTTCTAGTTCTTCAAGTGCCCCTCTCATCACGAAACTTTAAACAAACCAGCTTTTAGTTAGCAAATTATAGAAAGATTGTCTCTGTTATGAAATGAGGTGAGACTACCAATTAGATCAAGTTTTAATTCAAAACTTGAGTACAGATAAGAAACAGAAGGCCAAAAGGAAACAGTATCAACACTGGAGCCCTTTTTTTTTTTTGTCTTCAACGAATTATAATAATACACCTTTGGATAATCACAAATGATCCTGCTAGAAAGGTTTTAGGCAGGTTCCACTGCATAGACTAGAGACACAGTATCCAAAATGTTGCTTGACATAACTGCTTTTCAGTTTGAGGGCCAAGCTAACAAAACATATATATATATACTTATACAAATATATAAACCTATTAAATATCATAATCAGAATATGGACACATGATACTATGTACATCATATGATACAGAATGTTGTATGAACTCATGTATCTTATGATAACTTAAAATAGAAAAAACTTTTCCTATTGATGATGTCATTGTAAAAAGTTCCTAAAATAATTCTCCCACTTCTCAGGTGACCAAGGCATTGAAAACAATTCATAGCCACAGTTTTAAGTTTGTGTGTTATGTATGTCCTCTTAAACTTTCTATTGAATTTTCTATTAATGACGATTAACATCACTAATTCTTATCTCCCAACGTCTGGCAGCACCTACCACCCGCCAGCGCCTAACTGAGGAATCTTAAAATGTTTCAGTGCAAAATAGCCATAAAGAAATTATCTTCCAGCAAGAACTGTCAACTCCTCCAGCCCACAATATGATGGCAATGATCACATCTGTTATACAACAACACACCCCCCCCCCCCCCCCCCCCCCCCCCCCCCCCCACCCGCAAAACTTAGTAGAAAATTAATCTCCTTCTCCCAAAGGCTCCTGTTCCCTGCAACAGTGATAGAATACCTCAGAATGACTTTAGAGCAATTCAATCTGCAGAATTATATTTTGTGGTACTTAGTCGGTCTGAGACGAGAAGTTACGTGCTGTGACCTTGCTTATTAATCCAGTGCATTTTAGTGATTGTGACTATCATGATAAAATTGACTTAGGGCTGGGTGACAATCATGGGAACAAAATAAGGCTAAAAGCTGGAATGACAGGCATGTGGCTGTCATTGAACCATGAAGCATAGGTTCAGGGTGCTATGAAGACCGTCATGAGTGAGCAAAGTCTTGGAGGCGACTAGACTCAGTAGTCATTTAAGAGGTCTTGCTATAACTTACAGGTAAAACGACGGAGGAATGTACAGTATGTGCTATGCTCCGGATCCTGCTCTGCCTGCTCGTTGACCAGAGGGCAGGATTGTGTTACAGAAGATGAATATAAAAAAAATGACACAACAAAACAATGTCTATTGTTATAGTCAACACTAGTAGATTACCTAAGGATATAATATGGAGACTCTTAAAAGGAAAACGGTCTCTTCTACGATTATTGATACAGAATAGCAATGACAAAAAAACAGAACTTGGAAATTGAAGCATGACTAGAGCGACAAGACAAAAAGAACGAAGAAAAACTTGAGACAAGTAAAGCCTAATGCCCAGATTCTGGTCCACGAGCCAAGCTGTGAAGGGCAACTGTGATAAAAGAGTTAATTACCCTCCGGCATCTAACTCAGGCTGCAAATTTTTTTTTTTTTTTTTTTTCATTGACCAGGCGGGCCCGTACCCTGGCCTATCCACTCGTCCTCCCCCCCCCCCCTTCTGACTACCCACTTGTTCCGAATTATTTATATATAAATATTTGTTAAAGACCTATCTCAACTTTTTCTATCTGCTTTACTATAAATCATCCATTTCTGAACTAATCTAACACTATGGCAGCTCATACTCTAGAACTGAAAGGAACAGACCTTGCTAGATTTCATTAATCTTAGGGAAAAATTACTGGAATTTTTACTCGTCCATGCGGCAAGCGAGGTAAAACATTTAACTTGTACTCCACAAGTTTTACACTTCGTCAAAGGACGTGCGGACGTGGGATTTTTCGCAGCCTAGAAACTTAAATCAATCATCTGTCTCCTATCCACCCAGACCGGCCACCCTGCCAATACATGGTGTTCTATTTAACACAGTGTCTGTGGACACGGTGTACTCCATGTGATAATACGTGTACTTGCTTAAGCCTAGCATAAGTGATATGCACTTAATTAAGGTGAGACAGCCCTTAGGTAAAACAGCATTCCCTTTGAGAGCAACACCTGTGCAAAAACTAAATAGGTTTTCTTGTCAGTGAAACAGCGTTCACCCCATGTTATAAGATCATTTCAGACACAAATGTCATCTTAGCTGAATACTTTCCTCCGTCCCAAGGAGAAAAACTTGTTGCTTAAAGATTGCCGAATTTACTGCAATATCTAATTGTTCTCTGTAAACTATGTTACTCAACCCCAAACAATACAAAAATAAGGATGTGTGTTTTTACTAAAATATTACCTGTATGAAAAAGAAAAGAAAAGAAAAAACAAAAGATAAAAAAATAAAAAAACACGTTGATGCTTTCCGTTCAAGATTTTTCAGTCGGCTGCTTTGCAACACCAACAACTGATGGAAGGAAAATCCCTTGGCTGCAGATTGACCTCATTTCTTGCCCGCCAACCTCAGCTGAGACGAGCCTTCGCAATGCCAAGAACTTACAATGCAGTATCCATGCTTCTTAGAAAATACTTAGGAAAACAGAAACAGATGTATAACAATATTACTTCACCTGCGTTAGTGCTTTGTACCTTCAAGTAGGACTACTAAGACACGAGTAGCAGAACTAACCCAATGCCCATACTGTATTAACTATCTCTGTGATCCTTTGCTTATGTAAAAGAATATTCCAACAGAAATCTTTTTCAAATTGACATATGAATATAGGTGTGGTTGAGTGTGCTGTGTCTGTATACATGCTATATCATCACTCTTAACATTATCTTTGGCTAATCTGACAGAATGATGACCGCTCATTATCTCTGGACTTTCACCAAATCCTTCAGATATGAATCCTTGATTTCCAAATACTTGTCACTGCTCAGATATATTTTCTTATCTCCACAATATAAATTTTTTATCATATTACTTCTTGCGCCTAAAAACCTATCACTGGGTTTACGTTTGCATTCTTTGATTCATTTCAATGACAAGCAATTTTAACATAGTTCAATGTGGAATAACTTTATTATACTCATAGAGCCAACATGGTTTCAATAGTAGACTTTTTTTTTTTTTTTTCTTTTTAAGCATCCATGTACTTCTGTAAATAAGTGGTAAATGCTAAAAATTGTTTGAACAATCAATTCATAAATGACAATGTATTAGGGAGGAACAGCTTAGAGCCTTAAGAAATGGTACATTGATTTTTCTTTATCCATTTACCGTTGTTCTTGCTACAAAATATTGAATGGAACAGCATCATTTTCATAGCCAGCATTAAAGAAACAAATAAAGCTTAACAAGGTTAAGAAGAAAGTGCCAATATGCCTTAACAATGCTCTAAATGATAACAGGAAAGTCCAAATCTGCCTTTCCTACATAATTCAGTAAAGCCCATTGCCCTGAATGTGTAATTGTAGAGTACAGTCTATGCAAGATTATAAAGAAGAAATATAAGCTATAATACATACATAGCACAGTAATTGTTCCTCTCAATCATATAATTAATTTTTGTGCAAAATTAAGCAAAAACTCAGTGAGATAAGAGTTTTGGAGAAGTAAGTTCAATCTGTCACAAACTAGGATACAGGTAGATGAAACTATTTTGCACTGGCTGTGGGCTGACCAAAATGACTCATGAAAACATGCTGTGTCCTATGCTCTGTGACCCACATCCTGCAAGGCGTAGTCTTGTCATAAATCGATTTTCAAATGAAGATAAGTCTCATGCCACTATATGGTAGAGAATTCATTCTTCCAGAGAAAAATTACAAGCAGAGGCAATAGTAAGAGCAGTGTCACCTATACAGCTCTACATATTCAAAATATTCTGCTGTAATCGGAACTTTCAATTCAGCTTTTTTGTCATGGCGAGATTGTGACCTGATTCTAGTACACATGTCAATTGTGAAGATTAAGTGAGCAGCTATGGTAAGCTAATCCACAAAAAAAGGAACCTTGAAATAGACTACCATACAACATGGAGAACTGCAGTTTGTACAGTGACTATGAAGAAAGTTTTATTATAATATCTCTTTATGTCTATACCTACTTTATACTCATTACATAAAGCTCAAATACACATACAAACAACTCATATTCCTGAAATCTATCATTAAAGTAAAAAAACCCACAACAGGTGGTATCTCACCTACTGTCTAATGCAACAGAATCTACTCACCACACTGAAGTGCCCACACCAGAGCCGAAGTCTAATAACGTAAGTGGAGAAAAGTGTGGGTCACGTTTCTTCACTTCTGCCAGGATTCTGTAGAGGGAGGCGTAATCTGGAGCTAGGCGGCCTGCCACATACATAGCTGCCCTAGAAATGAAAGATAACAATGAATCAAGTTTTAAATCCATAACAACAGCAAATCACAACAAAGGACACTGGCGATCAATCAACAACAGTGTTTCTATGATATTTCAAGACAAATTCTTTGAAAGGACAAAGCTGTATTAACAAAAACAATTACACTTCACATGAGGGGGAGAGGAAAGGAACTGCTGTACAGCATGAAGAGAAAATCATACATGTTATATATATATAGCACCTCATCTCACCTATAACCATTATACTCAATGGGTTTCCAGTGATAAACATTGTTCTTCATTTTCTTCATAACTTTTGATTTTCGGGATTCTAGTAACCTGCCTTGAAGCTCTTCGCCAATATCTGGTGATAATGGGTCTACCATTTCTGAAATTTTAGAAGTGGTGTAAGGAAAAATAAAGAATATTTGACATACAAAAAAGTGCAAGATTTCATTCGACACATCTTCCTGCACTTTATAAAAGAATGCATTTTAGATAAAACTGAAACAACCTTTGAGAATGAAAACTAAATCAACAAAACAGAAAAACCTTTTAAACAAAATTTTTAACTAGGATCTAGACTACTCCACGGAAATTAACTACCTACTCTTACTTGAATACTGATAGTGAGATTTTACAAGCAATCCCAGTGAGCACTAGGGAAGAGCTCAGAAATACAAACACAGTGCCTGGTTGCTGAGGCTTTTCTATATGGAGGATGGATAACCATATTTTATACTGAAATGTAAGTACACTCCCAGACTTTGTATTTGAGATATATATACATACAGATAGTCCCCTACTTAAGAACATTCAACTTACACACATTCCGTACATACGAACAAAATATTTTAGATACTTAAGTCCAAAAAATTGTTTGAAAGATGTTAGCAAACTTCAAATTTCCCAGGCGCAAATATAGTTCATGAGTCTGCCACGCTGCAGCGCCGCCACGCTCACTCAGCTGTGTGCATGACTCGACTGCCCTCCCCCATAAACATGAAAGCCTCTCTTCACTGTGTCTTGTGTACCGACAATTTTGTGTCATAATTCGCTTACCTGTGCATCAATCCATCAAAAATGTTGGGTGTGAAGAGAAAGATAAACGGTGAAGCCAGTGGAATTGCCAAGAAACGTCAGGCTATAACTTTATGGATCTTATCAATCAGTTCGCCTGCCAGTCACAACTATATATTTTCTTTTTGAATAAATTATGTTTCTACATTTAAAGTTGTATAAATCACCAAATAATATTAACCCT